TCGTTTCAGTTTTGTTCTTGTTTTAAAACATAGACAAAACACAAACTCCACAGTCCGTTTAGTGGAAAACCGGCATAACAGATACCAATATTATTCCAACCTGACGTGATCTCCTTTTTTGATGTCCAAAAAATTCTTTTCAATTCTTCTGATGTAACAGGATTGAAAAAGAAAGAGTTGAGTTAGGAACAAATGACACACAATCGCACATGATCACGAACATCTTTCCAAACGCCAGTCCAGTAATAATGTTCTGAAATTGCTCTATATGTTTCATCTCTTCCAGAATGAGACGAAGTAGAAGCATTATCATGATATTCATACAGAATTCTTTCATAAAGATCCCTTGGAGTTACAATTAATTTGGAGTCTGATTTTATGTAAAATAAAATTTCATCTTCAACAATATATCTTGATTTTGAAATGCGTTCTTTTTTTGTTAAATGTTCGCTTTCTATATTTTTCATGAACTGCATTGTAGGATCCTCCTTTTGTTCTTGAACAGTAGCCTCGTAAATTCCTTTTCCCAACGTGATTAGGTTCATTGTTGGAGGTAAGAGGTAACAGCCTTTCATCATACTGCTGTCTAGCCGTATGATCGTCATTTTCTGTTGGATTTCTTGATAGAAAGTCAGCAAATTCATTGACTTTACCCGCACAGTGTTGTACTGTAAAGTTGAATTCCTGAAGAAGCAGTACCCAACGAGTCAATTTAGCTCTTTCATTTTTATATTTATTAAGCCAAGTGAGTGCTTTACTATCAGTAATAAGTCATTATTTGTCTTCTAAATGTGATCTAAATTTTTTGCATGCCCAGACTACCTCAAGAGTTTCTTGTTTATTTACATGGTATTTTCTTTCTGTTTTTATTAAATTTTGAGCTGGCATAGGATATAATTTGACGTTGATTTCCAGATCCCCATTGAAAGAAAACTACTCCTATTCTCTCTTGACTAGCATCTGTTTGTAGTATAAATGGGTTTTCAAAAATTGGCCTGTGTAATACTATAACGACTTCTCAAGTGCATTCTTAAGTTGTATAACGGCATTTACAGCTTCAGGGTTCCAACTAAACACTTTTTCGCCTGTAAGTTCAGTAAGTGGTGCAGTAATTGTTGCCAACTTTGGAATATATTCTCTTAAGCCAGTTAGGCGTACCAAGGAATGACTGCAATTTTTTCATGGTAGTTGGTTTTTTAAAATTTTTGATACCAAGCAGGTGATGTTCTTGTGGAGAATTGTTTGCACTTGAGATTTTATAACCAAGATAATTTAATTCATTTACTTCAAAATTGAATTTTTTTAAAGAACATCGAAGTTGGTGTATTCTAAGTCTGTCTAAAACTAACCCAAGGTGAAATAAATGATCATCGTGATTATTTGAATAGATATTTATATCATCCCCAAATATACTTTGACAAATCTGTCAATGTAACCTTCCAAAACTTCAGTCATGAGTTTTTGAAATGTAGATGGAGCGTTCCTTAAACCAAACGGTATGACTAAAAATTCGTACATAGCAGCATCGCGTATCAAAAGCTGTAAATTCAGTACTTTCCGGTTTCATTGACACTTACCAATATCCATACCTTTTTTTTTAAATCCAATGATAAAAATACCTGTGCATTACTAAGATCTTTTATTGTATCTCTTAGGGCCGAATGAATTTATAGTCGCTCCTTGAGGTTTCCTTAGTCCGTAAGGGATCCTTGAACGTTAAGAATTGACACGACTAACTTGTCAAATAGTAACAAGTATCCATTCTAAACTCACGACCTCCAAGGAAGAGTCAAAGAACGACTATAAATTTGGCCCTTATATGCGGTAACTGCGATACCATTAGCTCAGTTTGTTTATTTAGTTGACGGTAATCAACACAAAACCAAGGTGAACCATCTTTTTTCTCCACAATCACAACTGGTGAACAAAAACTTGAACAATTTCTTTTAATTACACCTGCAGTTAACATTTTTCTTACCTCATCTTGAATAATTTCTATTTTCTCCGGAGAATATTGATAACGTCTGATCTTAAATAGTGTTTTGTCTACAAGGGTTATATTCTATGATATACGAATTTGTATAGTTGGTTGTAGCAAACCTTCTTAAAAAATATGAAAACCATTTAATATGTTTTAGTACATACCTATTGTTTTGTCTGTTAAATGAGTTGAATTGAAAGTAACATTCTGTTGATTTGGTTTTTGTTTTTGTTTTTCAGGATAAATATTCTAATATACTGTGAACCTGAATTGTTTTCCCAAGTAAATACAACGTTGATGAACAAAATCTAAAATTGCATTATTAAATATTTTTCTATCCAGTAAAATAGGCACAGTTTAGAAACCTGATGTTTTGAAAGTAACATCTTCTTTGGCTAATCTTACAGTTGTTACATTGTCCATTAAATTATTACTTTGGGTGAAACGCTATTATTTAGGAATGAATCGCTTGCTCCCGTATCGAGTAATGCTATAATTTGCTTGTTATTTATTGTAATTTGAATACGTGGTAATTTTTTTTCTAAATTATAGTTTTTAATAGTGTTTATGGTCTGCTTTTTTGGTGGCCGACCTTCAGCTAGTTTTTTGTATATTTAAATAGCCTTGTCTTGTTCGTGGACAGTCTTTATGATAGTGCCACTCACCACAGACTTTTTATCCATTTCTCATCTGTTTCATTTATATCTTTGAGATCCTTTCCATACAATACTGACACTTGAATTATTTCTTCAAAGTTTGAAATATCTCTATCTCTCAAATTAATGCGTAAAATCCTAAAATCTGGTTTCAATAAAATTCTAAAACTCTTATAACCATTATTTTCTCTTCTAAAGTTGGTACAAGACAAAAAACAAGTTATGTTTGTTAGTTGAAAATATTGTACTTTCCTCATTTGTTTGTTTTTCACCACCATGTAATAATGTAATATTCTTAAGAATCGTTATTGAATGTTTCAAAAAGTCTATTACAGAGAGAATCAAAACTGTCATATATGCAGAAAACCATGATTTTGCTTCTCCCTCCAGATGATGCCATACTTGACTATAATCTAATAGTTTGACATTCCTTTGGAACTTTATACTTTTCAAAACAGGACCTAAAAGCCTCGACAAATTTTTCCGAGCTCTGCCAATCCAATCCTGGAAACACTGGTAGCTGGACTGAAGGTTTCTTGTGAGACCAATCTCTTTCCAAAGTTCAGAAGTTATATGTAATATGTTCTCTGATAGATTCTGTTGCGAAGTTTCTCCATAAATCGAGGAGTGTAGCGGTGCAGATCCTTCAGGGTCTTTATTTTAGGTGTTTGCACTATCGAGTTGGGCGCCGCGCCATATCGTCGTGGGGTTGTATTGGAGGTCAGGATCGCTGTATGACCTGGTGTAAACCCTTTTAGACATTGCGAAGTTTTACTCTTGCTTTTGTGATAGTTGCGATAATGGTGGCGATTCCTCATTCCTTCTAACATTTAAACTTGAATAAAACCTGGGTTAAATCGATAGAGAGATAGATTGAAATTTATTGAAAACTTTTTGAAAACAACAATAAATAGGTATGCCGAAAAGTTGAGATGTCAGAGATTATTACTAGTTACCTGTTATTGACCTGTAGCAAAAGTGACTATAGGTTTGTTTCTGCAGAAATCACAAACCAGTCAGAGTGAATTTCATTTGTTGAAAACAGTCAGAAAACAAGTTTCAACCAATGAAATTCACTCTGACTGGTTTGTGATTTCTGCAGAAACAGACCTTTAACAGGCAAGTAGGTATCGCGGACAATGATAAGGGATCAGGGATTATTTGTTGAGGGATGTTGCCCTCTAGAAATTTTGTAATATGAGTTGAATGAGTTCACTACTGTTCACATAATAAAACCTTCATAGAGCTATCCAATGAGCTATTAATTGTTAATAATATGTACCTATACAGGGTGTCCCACCAGGAACCAAATCGATTTATACATGAAAACGATATGCAGAAAATTTCTGAAAATTTGACAGTATACCTACTAATGTCAATAACTCAATAGAGGCAACCCAGCTAAAATATTTTCAAGATGGTGGCTCTTCTGGATATACCGGAAGTAGACTTCAATTTGCTTATTTTAAATGAGACACCCTGTATGTGATTGCATAATATTTGGATTCTACGTAAAATTCTCAGCAGATTTCATGCAATATACCCTATACCTAAGTTCAACTGTTTTGGGAATATTATTAACAGTTGAAAATTGACTTTTTGCAACTTTGACATGCTGTGAAACCTAAACGGTTAATTTTAGAGGAAAACCGATTTTACATTCCCTTAGATTTTTATAAACTATCATTTCACACCAACTTTGAATTTAATCCATGATTGGAAATTCCAATTAAATTTAATCTCCGGTTAAATTCAAAGTTTGTGTCAAATGATAGTTTATGAAAATCTAAGGCAGGAATGTAAAATCGATTTTCCTCTAAAATTAACCGTTGAGGTTTTACAGCCTGTCAAAGTTGCAAAAAGTTAATTTTCAACTGTCAATATTTCTAAAATAGTTGAACTTAGGTATAGGGTATATGTATGAAATCTGCTCAGAATTTTACATAGAATCCAAATATGCAATCACATAGAGGGTGTCTCATTTAAAATAGGAAAGTTGACGGTGAAACCGGAAGAGCCATCATTTTGAAAATATTTTAGCTGGGTTGCCCCCTTTGATATTAGTAGGTATACTGCGATGTATACTGTTATACTGTCAAATTTTCAAATAATAGATCGATTTGGTTCCTGGTGGGACACCCTGTATAGGATGTCCTACTCAAAAAATAATACTCGAGTCAATATCTCATGTGGGATGTAGTTAATTTTTGCAGACGAATCTTTCGATTCTGAGTTAACTAATAGACTAGGTACCTATTTATTCAAGTCCGCATTATTAACAGCAAATTTCATAATAACATGCAATGATCCTAATTTCTTCCCAGAAATTCCTAGGTCTTGAGTGCAACATTTTTTCTGCTCATGTTTTTTTAAACCAACCAGGTGAAAGAAAAAGCAAGATTGAAAAACTTCACTTTCAGAAATATCAGTTTATTTTTGAGTTTATTTGAAAAAAAAAAGTTTAAATAAAAAACCAATAATCGAAGTGGTATATCCAGTCCAGGTTTACTGAAAACTTCCCGTTCTACTGCAAAATATGGGACACAGATAAGTCAAAACCAAGATATTTTAAATTCCATTTGATTTTGATGAAAACTTCCTATCTTTTACACCTAATATGATGGAACATATGACATGATACCCAAGTTAATAAAATCATTATTTTTTAAGTAAGATATAATTTAAAAAAAAAACAGTTTTTGTATTTAATTCAAAATAATAAGAGCAGTTACTCAACTAAAAACGTTTTATAAATTTTCTGCAGAGAATCGTCATTAAATTTCCCAACAAAAGGAATTTTCAATATTTGTGCAAACCCTTCAGACATATCTGGCTGCTGAAAATTCTTATTGAAACTAAAAATAATAATATCGCTAACATAGGCATGAGAATTATCAGTCAATTGACGAAATTTATTATTGTGCCTCATATGAGCAAGGCTAGTTTCCATTACGAAACATCTCACATCTGCCCCAAATTTTTTAGCACCCTCTATGTATCGTTGTCTACTTTCCTTGTCCCCATTCGTATTATCTATAACAACATTTCTCTTCTGCTGCAAATTTTCTTCCATAGCTTTTACACACTTTTGCCAAGTTCCTAATTTATCCCTGCTAACTTGTACATAGCCTTTTGGCACGAGAACTTCTTTGACAAAATGACTCTTGCCAGATCCAGGTCCACCCACCATAACAATAACATTTAATTTATCGCAAGATATATCTGGATATTGTTGAAGGCTGATGTCTTGTCTAGGATCAAAATCTGGCATTTTAAATGGGACTGGTTTTTGTTTGAGAAAGTATTCTTCAGGAGTGTAAAATTTAAGACCTGAAAATAATTATTGGGTAATTAATTTTGTTTTTAATAATTCTATTAAGCCTTACCTAAATTCAATGCAAATAATCTATCTGCGCAAGAATGATCTTTATTTTTTTTTGGAGCCCAATTTTTTTGTCTTCCTGCAGCGTCGCCTACATAAAACGATTGATTCCTATCAATTTCCACATTATTATTTTTCTTTGTTTCAAGCAAATCCCACATTCCCATTTTTGGTTTCCTATAAATTTTCTTGCCGAGTGCTACAAAAACTTGCACTGGTAACTCTAATTTATTTACAATGTTTTCGATTTTCGTTCTAAAGTTTTTTATTTTAGCAGCGTCTTGCCCCACGCCTGATTGATTAGTGAAAAATGCCAATTTAAAGCCGTCTTCTAACAATTGCTTTAAATGCTTTGGTATGTCTGAAATATTCCACATCCAATCGTTGTGATCTTTGGAAAACCTTGCACCAGATTTGGTTTTTATAATGGTGCCGTCAATATCGAAAGCCGCAATTTTGTTTTTGGCTTCGCACTGAGTTGGAGTGAAAATCATGAGCTCTTGATTATCAATATCTTCCCACAGACCTTCAATTGAATCTGCTTTTTGCTGTTTTTGTTTAGGATTAAACATAGCGAAATCTGGCTTGGGTTTTTTGGCTTTGGGAGGTTCTACTTCGTCATCAAAATTAACCTCGAATTTATGGTTACCAAAACGCAATTCGATAATGTCTTTATGACCAATGGTGTAGACCAAGTTTTTGGTTAAAGCTAAACCATTACAACCAGATACCGCTTGTCCCACGGCTTTCAAAATCAGTTTGCGTTTCTTCACATCGGCAATACACACAATTTGGTCTCTGGATATTTTAACGTCTTGTATGGCGGTTCGTTCATTGCGTCCCAGTCTAACTCGAGTCCTGTGGGGTAAAATTATTCGCCTTTTAGTGTCCAAATTGATGACGTAACATTGGGTGGACATTTTATATGAATTTTTTATTGATAATCCAAATATTTTCTGTGATAAGCTGTGTTTGCAAATAATCGTGAACATCAAATTAAGTATCTTTTTTTTTTGAGGTTAGAATTGAAAAATGTCAAAAATGACACTGATGTTTTTTGATTTTAATTGACAGTTATTAGACATGGGCAGGGTTTGGGTTGACGTGGGTTGACCATTGGTTAACGCTCGGCGGAGCGATAGTGCGAATTCTTTTATCCAGCAATGGATACATCTGCTGCTAGCATTATGAGACAGCCATTACGATTTTCTATGAACTAGACAAAGATAGACTGGTCATCGATGGATCCATCGGTGAATAAAAGAATGCGCCTATAGGTGAGTTCGGAATGGTTGAAAGTGTCGACACTTTTTACACTATATTGACACTGTGGCGTTCGTTAATTAGGCAATCCAAACCGCGTGATGACTTTTTTTGACGGATTGTTGGCACACAAAAGACAAAAGATTTTCTTGCTTCAATGTCCTTGCGTTCGGTATTTTGCTCAAAGAGCAGACCGTGCGGAGCGGAGCCGTAATCACGTGACCAGCGAGCGAACAGAGCAGTTGAACGCAGTATCCGAGTGCCCGAAATTTTAATAAACGAACGCAAATGAGCTTGCTCCGAGTAGACTTTTTGAATAAACGAACGGTAACTTCAAGCTCGGAGAACTCTGATTAAAATACCGAAAGCATAGTGTGTTATTAGAGAGTTCTCGTGTCTCAGACGCTACGCTAATACGGTACCGCGAACAATACGGTATTTTAAATGGTAATAGAAAGTTCTCGTGCGTCAGACGTTACGCTAATACGGTACCGCTAACAATACGGTATTTCACATGGTATTTTATAGTTCTCGGGCACGAAGACACATAAATCCTCTAATCCCTTATTCTGTTTACATTTTGAAAGCTAAGTTGAGTAATTTAACCCCACTTTTTTTGCTTTTTTTCTAACTTTTTTCTGAAGATTCCTGAGCTTGATTAATTTTCCCTTAATGTTTTCTATGGAGGAATTATTAGAAGACACAAATGGAGCGTAAACTAGTTTTTACATAGCATAGCGTTACGGTAAGGCATCCGTTAAGTTCCGTTAGAAAGCGGGCTCCGCTAACGCTATTACCGTAAGAACTGTCCTACTTGTCAAATAGCGTTACGGAATTTGAAATTTGGATGGCACGAAAACTCTCTATTTTCTGTGTTGAATTTTGTGAGTTTTGAGACCTAAAAAAACGCACACTCATAATAATTTAGAAATATTTTTGTAAGGAAATTTGTAAAAAGTTAGGGACGATGACTGATGACTGATGACACAAGAAATTTAGGATTATGGGCACATGTGTGCAGTGATGTGCCTGTAGACAATGTCAACGTAAACAATTGATTGTCTACGCGTAGACAATTCGAATTGTTTACGTGAGCATTTGTCTACACTTGTCTACATGCGGCGTAAACAATATTTTATTATAAAAAATTCGAAAAAAAATATCAAAAGTTACTACAATATCACTATCACTTCGATATTAGCATTCACTGATTATAAAATATCAGAAAAACCAATAATAAAATAAAAATAATTTAAAAAAAGGAAAGTGTGAGACAGTGAGGTTAGAATTAAACGTCATTTATATTATTTTACATTAGTTGTATTTCTTTCACACCTAGGAGGAGCTCCGGAACAGCTCCGGGGCTTCACGCGCTTATTCCTTTCGAAAAGTGTTTGTTGCGCCACGCATCTGTTCCCTGCAAATCGGGGGCGGCTGAACACCGGAACGAGTAGCTCGAGTGTTTCAAGCTCTTGAAAGGAATACAACTATTGTTGACACGTTGTCTACATTGTCTATATTAGTACTCATAACTGCGAAATTCGCATTTTTTTGACATTGCGTTGATAATTTGACGTTTTATGCGTGTATCAGACGTCAAATTGTCGAAGCAATGTCAAAAAAATGCGGATTTCGCAGTTATGACTGTTATGAGTACTAGGCTTAAGGGAGGATTTTCATGCATCCGTTTTTCCGACGAAATATGTCCGTTAAACATTCTATTCTGACATAATCGTATATAAATATGTCAAAATAGAAGACTTTTCGGACATATTTCGACGGAAAAACGGATGCATGAAAATCCTCCCTAAAGTAGACAATTACCGAGTTTGTTTTTGTCGTCTTTTTCGTCGATTTGCTCCGAAATTTTGACAGGCACGTGATTTATAAACTGAACTGTCTCATCCAGTCACGTGCCTGTCAAAATTTCGGAGCAAATCGACGAAAAAGATGACAAAAACGAACTCGGCCAATGAAAGTCTACGTGTAGACGCACATCCCTGCATGTGTGCCAACAGTCGGCCATATTTGACACATTGTTGGATTGCCTAATTGGTAGGAGCAAATTTGATGTACACTTTATTTGCGTTCGGAAATGATTTGGTGTCCAAATGGTGTAAAGATGGTGGGACACCGTTTACTCGTTACAAAGTGATGGTGTATTTGGTGTTACACCGCCGATTACACCTTCATCACGTGATTTAACACTGCACTACACGAACACCGCACTAGCACTGCACTAAAATCCCATTCCGAACTCAACTCATCGCGGAGTATTGTCGAAGCAATGTCAGAAAAATGCGAATTTCGCAGTTATGAGTACTAGGTTTTAGGCCGGAGTTTCATGCATCCGTTTTCCGACTAAATATGTCCGAAAAATCTTCTATTTTGACATATTTTAATACGATTATGTCAGAATAGAATGTTTTTCGGACATATTTCGTCGGAAAAACGGATGCATAAAACTCCAGCTTAAGCTTAAAGCAAAAGCCCCTGGAATCATAACCGGTGGTGCAAACACCCTCGTTAAGGCGAGAAACTAGGAACCATGGCGAGAAACGACGTCATCACTGGTGCTTTGGCATGGTGGGGAGTTTGAGATTCGAACTACACAGGCCTTATGAGGATAAGCTATCCTATAGTAGTAGTGTGTACTATACTTGGATGCTCATAGGTAAAATTTTTGCCTAAGCACATGCGGAAAGTGCCTTTACTGCCCTTAACGGCATGACTGCCGTTGCGTGCGGTAAGGTATTACTTTCTGCCTTCTTGACCTGAACAACAAAGACAACGTTCTCTTTAAAATATCACCTAAAAAAATATTTCAAAAAAGCCGAGAATAACCAGTGGATTTTGAGAACAATCAACAAAAACCGCAAAACATCTACATCAATAACATCTTATCTACATACTTTGAGAAATAAATATAGGACGTTAACAAAGATTGACATGGACATCATTGGAAGAACCATATTATATCAAAAAGTAAACGCCATGATCTTTTGAAAAAGAAGAGGAAATTCGTTAATTTCAAGTTTTAGTATTAGTAATTTCGAATATTTTCGTCAAAATTAATGCATTCCTTTGCGGATATTCATATACGTATGACGTCATGATATCGCGGTCGGGGAATGGATACTTTTGAAGATTAAAGCCTTGATGCACTCATAACTGCGAAATTCGCATTTTTTTGACATTGCTTCGACAATTTGACGTTATATGCGTGAATCAAACGTCAAATTGTCGAAGCAATGTCAAAAAAATGCGAATTTCGCAGTAATGAGTACTAGTCTTAAGAATAAAAATTGAGGTTTGAATTTTATGTCACTTTTCAAATTCCTAGATAAAATGCGTAAAGTACTTACTGCACGCACTGTTCAAAAGACGTAAAATTATATTTCACGCACTAGTGCGTAAGCGTAAAGTAAATACGTACTTTACACATAAGTGCGTGAAGTAAACAAAAAAGTTTAATAATTCTATTAGCTTCTTCGCAAAAATGCACGGATAACTATAAAAGTATGAAATTTGATAGGTATTATAAAAGCCTTTGCTTCCCTTTTTTTTTGCATTAAAACTGTAATTACTTTACACCCTAGGTTGTGAAGTAGACTTTAGACACTAGGACGTAAAATTGTAGTACCTATATTTTTTCAAATTTATGGCTTTATATTATCGATAGTAGAAAATTTTTTATATGCAACAAGCACCTTTTTTCCCTCTGGTGAAAAGGTTCAGTTTACGTTTACACACATGTTGCATAAATAGCTATTTGTCAAAGATATAGCATAACTATACATGTAATAAATAATACAAAAAAAACAAATTGTTCAAACAATTTATTACAAAATTATCAAATATAGTAGTAAGTATAGTTCCAACAAACGACGAATATAAATTTGTCTATAAAGAGAGCAACTCCATGACAGTGTAAAATATATACTGTCGACGGATAGCTCTCTTCATTTTCAAATTTCGAATCTTCTGTCTGGATCATCTACAATAAAAACGTGTAAAACTTTTTGATTACACTTACTCACCTTTGTAATGGTTCCACCAGTGCAACATTTTTAAATCTTAAACCAGATCCCAGAGGATGTTAACTGGAAAAATCAACAAAAATTAAAGCAACAGCTACTTTGAAAAAGCAAAATGTGTTCTTTATTTTGACTTAAGCTCATTTTACAAAAAGTTTGCCTTAGATTTTGACATCAAACTTTATATTATTTTATCAAAACGCACACAAGATTTTACAACAGTTTAATTACTTTATTGCCTCCATTGTTTTACCAAGGATATAAATTCATGAAAATGTGTCGCACCGGGATTGTTTTTATCACAATTTCTAGTAAATATTGCGCCATAATCGGCACCCTACTAAAACTAGAACAACAGCGCATTTAAAATTAGCTTTTTATCTAAATCTCATAAATCGGTAATTAAACGAAACCGTAACAGGCCATTTTATTTGCTCCGGATTTTATTACCGCGGTTTTCTAATTTAATGATCAGCGTTTTAAATGAAGGCGAGATAAAGCGTTAATTAAATATTGAAACAAAAATTAACCTGGGGGAGAATCAATTTTGTTATTTAATTGAATTGGTAATATAAATGATAAGAGGAGAAGGTTAAAAATACAATCAATGCTCTTAGAGCTAAAATTTGACCCAAAGAGAACCATACAAATCTTATTCCTGGCACAACTGGCTAAAATTTAACTACAATTTTTAAATATTCTATAGCTGAAGTTGGACCAGGGGCCTTATTCTGTAAGAACAAACCGTTCGATTCGGTAGAATTTCTTCGATTGTGACGTCATTTTTGGTTTGGTTTTCACAGTAACAAACCGAAAATGACGTCACAATCGAAGAAATTCTACCGAATCGAACGGTTCGTTTCTTACAGAATAAGGCCCCAGAGAGGGACACAAAAGTCGCATTTTTGAACTTCCTTATACCAAAATTCAACTGGAGAAATTTTGAAATCCTATAATGAACGCTCCTAGAGCGAAAGTTTGACATAGAGAACCATGAAAATCTTATTCCTGGCATCTATACTGGCCAAAATTTAACTAGAAGACATACAAAATCCTCTGAAAAAGGGCGTACCTAATGAAAAACTATGTTTGAGAACAATTACAAAATCTTTCAAAGAACTTTTCAGCAAAATTGGGAAATTAGAAGACTATGAATACATGTTAAAAATGACGGAAAAACCGTGTGCCATACTCAATTTCAGCACCCAGAAGAGTAGCAATTCCATTAATGAATAAAGTTAAAAGAGAGCTACAAAAAATGGTAGATCAAGAGATAATTGAACAGGTGGATTACAATAATCCTACTCCATGGTTTGTTTCCCCAAAACAAATGATCAAGTTAGAATATGTGCTGACTTCACTGCACTGTTTTAATAAGAGAAAAAGTTATTTTACTAACACTGGCACAAATAGGAAATGCAAAAGTATTTTCAAAATTAGATTGTGTATCAAATGTTTGGCAACTTCCAATATCAGAAGGTTCGAAGCACTACACTCTGCCTTTTTAATACCTTTTGGAAGGTACATTTACAAGAGAATTCCTTTTGGAATCACTTCAGCTCCAGACATTTTTCAGAGTACAATGAATAGACTTTTCAATAACCATGAAGGGGTATCATTACAAATTGATGACATTACAGTTTTTGGAGAAAGATTACAGTTTTTGGATGAGAGGTTAAAAAGAGTGCATAGTGTTACGAGACAATGGACTTAGGTACCTTAAACGAGTCAAAATGTCAGATAGGCATTTCGGAAGTGAAATTATTTGGATACTTATCAAACAATCGGGTATAAGAATGGACAGTGACAATATGAAGGCTATATTAGACTTTGAAGAACCCAAAACAGTGACAAATGTGAGGTAGTTTCTTGGTACCTATGCTAAATAACAAAATTTCTTTAAAATATTGCAGATGAAACAAAACCCCTACACGAACTTTTAAAACGTATCAATTACCTAAGTAATACTTTTCAGTTTAATGATATCCATCAACAGTGTTTTTTGTTAAATTAAAAATTCTTGTCACCAGTTTACCAGTTTTGAAGGCTTGTGATGTTAATAGAGAAACAAGAATTCTTGCAGACTCAAGTTTTTTCGGAATTGTTGGCTGTTTAAAACAATTACAACCAGATGGGAGATGGGCTCCTGCTTTTTATTGTTCAAAAAGTTTAAGTGAAACACAACAACGTTATGCCCAAATTAAAAAGGAAGCATATGCTATTGTATGGGTATGTGAAAGACTGGAAGAGTACCTAATGGGTAAATCATTTACTATACAAACTGATTATTTACCATTTTTGCGTACCTATCCTAAAGAAGAAATCTATAATTGATTTGACTGTGAGATTGCAATGATTTAGATTCAGATTAACTAAATTTACATTTAAGATTGAACACGTCGCTGGAAAAAATTCTATGTAGGTACCAGATACGTTATCAAGGCAGCCACTGAAACAGATAGATAATGGAGAAGATGTATTAGAAGAAGTTGAATGCTATGTAAATGTTACAAGGAAAGGAACTGGAGATAACTTGAACTTAACACACCAAAGGGTTGAAAAAGCACAGCAAGAAGAGTTTCACAGAAAAAACATCATAAGTAATTGGGACATATCAAAAATATTTCAAGTACTTATCGTAATGAAATTACTTGTTGTATCACAAAGACAGGCTTCTAATTCCTTCATCTATGTACAGAGAAACTTTAAATCAAATTCATATTGGACATCGAGGTATAAATAGTTGCAAATTTAGAGCAAAACATACTGTATGGTGGCCCAATAATAATTATTATATCATAGAAACAGTACAAAATTGCCATGAATGTTTGAAGAACCCAGAATCAGGTGACAGATTCTACGATACTTCGAAAATTGCCACACTTACCATTTCAGCATGTATCAGCAGATTTATTCCAGTACAGGTATCAAGTCTACCTTGTCATAAAGGATGTGTACCTACTCAAAATATCCAGAAGTTATTACACTAAAGAAAACTGAAAGTGGAGACGTTATTGAAAAATTGAGAGAAATCTTTGGACTTTATGGAATTCCAGAGATATTATGCGCAGACA